AACCATGGCACAAATGATACCTAGGCATGTCCGAATCAAGAAACTGCCTGCAAAACACAAACAGTCACAGGTTAGTGAGGCGGCAGCGCGGGGTGGGGCTGCGGCAGCGGAGACAAGCCGCCCAGGCCAGCAGGCCTCCTGGGCGTGGGGTGGGGGGCAGGCTGCAAAGCGGGGAGGCCCAGGCTGTGCCAAAGCGCGCAGGCAGCCCGAGGCCCGAGGCCGAGCCGGGCCTGGAGTTCCTGAGCCTCAGCACCTGAGGGGGGAGAAGGGCCCCCTGTTCGCCCTCAGGGCAGCTGGGTCCATCCCTGGACTCCCAGGACGTCAGCCGCAGTCCAGGAAGAGCAGGGCCCTTGGGAGGGGCCTGCGGGCTTGGCCAGCCCGCCTCAGAACGGAGCTCGCCTGGGGCTGAGCTGACAGGGTCCCCGAGACCTCCAGCGCAGGGCGGAGGAGGGGCTGTCCCTGGCAGCACCAGCGAGGGCCTGGGCCAAGCAGGGCAAAGCAGCGATGTCCCCCCAGCCCTGTGGATGGTCTCCTCTCCCCTCAGGCACCGGGCTGGCGGGTCCAGAGCTGCCCTGGGGCTGCCTCACTTTCCAGGGCTCCCAGGGGGCGGGCCCGAAGCCTGCTGGCGAGGGGTCCGCAGACCTCCTGGGACAGGGTGAACTGTCCAGCCAGAGCCCCGCTGACCACAGGTCCAGCCAGGAGCCATAGCCTTCTAAGCTACCCTGGGATTTAGCCCAGGCCGAGGCCCCCCAGGGGGCCCCCAGCAGCTGGAACACCCACAAACACCGTCCTCAGTGCAGGGCGGGAGGCCCAGAAGGCGTCCCCCACTCCCTTTCTGCCCCAAGAATCTAGGGGTTGCAGGGCAAAGGAAGGGTCAGAGGTCAGGGAATGCTAAGGTCGTCCCCAGATCAAAGCGTCACTGAGCATGGCACACAGACCACTCCCCGGTGGCACAAGCCTCCCATGGGGGTCCCAGCCCCCCACAGCCCAGGCACAGCGGCCACATCCCTGCAGGCAACCCGTGTGGGTAGGCGGCAGGCCCGTCACGCCCCAGGGCGTGTTCTCACGGCAACAGGAGAAGCCCACCAGCCGGCCCACCCCCCTGGTGGCCTCTCCTTCCCGCTCTCCCGGGTGTAGCCCCCAGTCTGCCTGTCATGGTGCCGCCTCCACGTGAAAATGCCCCCCAACACTCTCCACCCCCATCCCCCAGTTCTCTGGATAAGTGCAGGCTGAGTTCCTTGTGGAAGCTTCCAGGGCAGGACTGGAAACACAGCCACATCTGCCCCTGTTGGGGTCCTTGCCTGCCACCCCTAAGCTGCCAGTCTGAGTGATGGTCCCTGACAGCCCCCTCGCGGGGTGTCTGAAAGACCTGGGCTCTGTCCTGACCCAGGAACCAGAAGGATGGGAGGCAACTCCCCCAGGACCCTCAAACGTGGGGTCTCTACCCCAGCTCTCACAGACACTTCTCCTGCAGTCACAGCCACAGGAACACGAGACACCCACAACTCTAGCTCCGAGGGTCAGGCAGGCGGAGTCCTTGGGCGACTGGGGCACCCCACTCATTTCCGCACACCCCTCCCCTAGAGCAGCACCTCAGACACAGCCGAGCCCACTGACGTCCCCCCACATCCCGCCCACCATGGCTGGATGTCCCTGGGGCCTCGCAGGTCCTGTCCACGGCCCCAGATCTTGGGACCGCCCAGGCTGCGGGGCCTCGGCCATCATCCGGGAGCTTGGAAAGGGCAGCCCAGTGACAAGGCGTCCACCTGCGGCTGGGCCAACAAGCCAATGCGCCTCTGAACCGCCTCCAGGACCCCCAGCCCAAGGACCCCTGCCAGAGGCCGCAGAGCCGCCCGCAGCAGTGTGTTTGGGAAAGCCCGGCTCGCTTGTGCGCCCACCGCCAAGCCGCCCGCCCACCCCCAAAAGTGCCCAGGACAAGACCCAGCTCATCAGCCCGAAACTGCCCCCACAGCCCCTCCTCTGCCAGGTGACTCAATGAACGGATGGAGGTGTGAGCCCGTGCGGGGACGACGCCCAGACGCGCACCGAGGGACTCGGAGGCCACGAGCCTCGCTCGCCTCGCTCCTGTTGCCTCAGGCGTCACAACGGAGGCCTGGAAGCTTTGGAGCCGGCCACGTCCTGTGTGGCTGGGCGCCGCACAGCCAGGCCAGCTAAGGATGTGGCTGGCTGACAACGCCCCGAGTCCTGACCAGGACCCCATCTCCAGGGGGACAGGAACAGACTGTGCTGCTGCCCAAGGGGACTCACCGGTCATCCTGGGCCGGGCGGATGTACCCTGATGAGAGGATGTTGAGAGACAAGATGTTGGGGTCAATCAGGGACTCATCGGTTTCTGGGGTGTTTCGGATGCGACCTACGGGAGAGGTGATGGCCGGTGACTTCCCGGAGGGCAGCTGGCCCCGCTCAGCACCTCTGCCCACGCGGGAGCTGCTGAGCCAGGAGGCCTGTCGTGACAGGCTCCCCATGTGGCCACCAGAGCATCGGGCAAAAGGTCACACTACGGGCAGACGGGAGTCCCGTGCAGGGGCTGCAGCCGGCTCGGCGCCACAGGTCAGCGCGCTGTTCTCGTCCCATCTCTCCTCCCGCAGCCTAAGGTCTGAGTGCCTTCGTTTCTCAGCCTTAAGTGTCTCTCTCCCCACCTCTCTCCATCCCCGTCTCTCTCAACTAACAGATTCCAGTCACTCGGCCCAGAGTGCACAGGCCCTCCTGCCTGTTGGAAAAGGAAATCTTAGCAAGGCGAGAAGGAGAAAATGGTCCTTCTTCTATTTATACTCAGGAAAAAAGGGAGAGGCAGAGGGAAGGGGGAGAGAGAAAGGAAAAAAGGAAGAAAAAGAAAGAAAAAGAAAGAAAGAAAGAAAGAAAGAAAGAAAGAAAGAAAGAAAGAAAGAAAGAAAGAAACAAAGAAACAAAGAAAGAAAGAAAGAAAAAGAACCACTATCTGTGCCATAAATGTCCCCTGCAAGGGACATTTCCAGCCGAGCCCCCAGCCACCTGCCTGCACTGGGGTACAGCTGGCTGTGGAAGGTGCCAGGGCCACTGTGAGCCAGGAACCTTGCCTGGTGGCCTCAGTCATCGCCTCGTGTCTGGCACAGAGAGGTCAATGGACCCTCTGCTTCTCTGAGGAACGGTCGCAGCCCTGCTGCTGTGCCTGAGCCTCTACAAGCCCCAGGGACCCACCACAGAAACGCCCAGAGTGGGGCTTCCCGAGGGACCGGCCACCGGCTCCAGGGCAGGGGCGGGGTGGGGCAGGTTGGCCTCACGCGGGTGACACACTGGGAAGGACAGCCGTCTGTGTCCCTGAGTGAGCACCGGGAGGACAAATGCTTTACAGCTCGGCAAAGGAAAGCTCTGGTGGACAAGTGTTCACAGCATGACGTCACAGGAGAAAACTGTCTAGGACCTGGGTGACCACTGTGAGTTGAACTGTCCCCCCCCAAAAAGATATGTTGCAGTCTAACCCCCAGCACCTCAGAATATGACCTTGCTGGATGTGATTAGTTGAGATGAGGTGACACTGGAGTGGGGGTCCCTAACCTAGTCTGACTGGCATCCACGTGAAGATGGGGGGCTAGAGTGATGCGTGTACAAGCCAGAGTGCCAAGGACTCCCCGCAAACTGCCAGAACCTAGAAGGGGTAAGGAGGGGTTCTCCCCAAGGGTTTCGGAGGGAGCCTGCCACCTGCGGGTACCTTGACCGCGGACTCAGGCCTCCGGGGCTGCGAGGGGAAATTCCTAGCTGAAGCCCCCTGGTCGCGGTGCTTGGCTAAGCAGCCCTGGCAAGCCAGCACAGTGGTCAAGCAGACATTTGGGGTCACCACTGGGGTCCAAGCTCTGAGCCACAGGGAGGTTAAGTGACTTAGCCAGTCACACAGCAGCAGGGCAGAGCTGTGGTTAGACCTCAGGCATCTGGCCTGGGAGGGCGGGTGGGCCCACAGTCGCCCCACCACCCCAGCCCAGTCCCCAGGCAGACCCCCGCTGCCTCCCTCACCTACAACCAGCTCTCGGACTTCCTTCCAGCGGATGTGGCTGCCCGTCTCATGCAGCAGTGTCACGGTTATCCGTCTCTGGATGCCCTGCCGGGAGCCAGGAGGGAGGACACATCAGATAGTCCGGGGGCCTGACGGCAGGGGAGACGGGGCGGGGCGGGGGGTGGGGGTGGCAACAGGAGGGCCTCGCACCTGGTGCAGCAGGAAGGTCCCCATGCACGGCATCCCGCCGCGGTGGTCCACCATCGCAGGGATGTAGCTGGGAGAGACGGGGAGGCACGTGTGAGGCCACCCTCACTCATCCCACAGCACACACGTGGCCCCAAGAGCGGAAGGGGTGAGAACAGGAAATCAGCCACGCCCTCTGGCAAATGTGGGGTGGCTCAGTCCAAGGACACCAACGTCAGATGGGCAAGGAACTCACCGTGTGCCACCCCACCCGTCCCCAGGGCCCCGCCCGCCCCACACCACAGCCCCGGGTCCCCCCACCCTTCCCCAGCACGGGCACTCACTCGCCGTTGGCCTCCAGCTCACAGATCTCGAAGTAGACGAGCAGGTCGTATTTGCAGTGACAGGGCCCAGGACAGGGACGCGTCATCGTGCTGAGCTTGGTGGCTGGCACTGGGGAGGGTGGGGGAAACGACAGGGGAGAAGCAGGCGCTGACGGGACCCGCCACACACTGAGGGCTCGCTCAAGGACGATGTGGGGTTGGGGACGCCTCAAAGACAGCAAGGGCACCGCGCTCAAAGAAAACCTACCGGCAGACCCCGTCCCCTGCCCCAGGATAGGCCTGGTTCCGGGCCCAGCCACGCACTGGCTCAGGAACAGACGTGACAACTCACGTCCCTATGCCCAGGTGCAAGGGCCATGTGGCCATGCACGCCAGGCCCCTAAAGACAGGGTGGTGCCTTGAGACCCCAGAGAACCAGCTGGGGGCAGGAGCGACGCTCACTCAGGCCCACAACCCACCCAGGACCCTCTGCTACACCACACTTAAGCCACAGCCTACTGCACCAGTCCAAGCACCTCGCCCAGGGCAGAAAGTCCTGCCCGAGGTCCCACTGGCCCTCCACTGGCGCCCAGCTGCTGACCAATGGGCTCACATGGCGCCAGGCCTCACTGAGCCCCAGGCCCCCAGTGCCTTCCTCTCTGAGCTCCCACGGCTCTGTCATCTGCCCCAGAACCCCCCGGGGACACCGGGCAGGCACTGCCTGACCATCGCCCAGCTGCTCTGTGTGACAAGTGGTAAAGGACACGCAACTAACTGTCTCTGTGCCTTCGGCCCGTGCCCCTGCTCCAGGGTGAGCCCCTTACTCCATGGGGACCCCATGAGGATGGGAGGGTGCAGGGTGACCCACAGAGCCTGAGAGAGCAATGACCCATCACGAGGCCTGCGCTCAGCTGTGGATGGCCCACCCACACTGGCACCCACGGCGTGGGCACCCGCTTCCCTGGCTGGGGGGACCCCGGAGAGCCCCGCCTACCTGGCTTGGACAGCGGCATGACCCGTGGGAAGTGGCGGCGTGAGGGCCTCAGGGGGCTGTGGAGGAAGAGTCAGCATAAGGTGAGCCGGCAGGCTGGTGTCTGCAGGGGCCTGAGCTGCAGCGGGGACCCGCGCGCAGGGGCTGGCCTGCGCCTCCCTCCGTCCGTCCCTCCCACAGGGCCTGCGTGAGGCCCTGGTCTCAGGCCCTCCACCAGCTCAGCATGGGGAGAGGCTCCGCAGGCCCCGCCCGGGAGGCCCCAGAGGCCACGAGAACTGGGGCGAGGTCACGCTCTGGGTCTCCTTGCAGGGCAGAGCCTCTCTCAGCACCTCCAAGGACAAAGGAGGCTCCTGGGGCCTAACACCCCAGACCTGCTCCTGAGGGCCATTCTCTTCCCCTGACACCTGGGGTGGCCCCACATGGCAGCTGAGGGGGAGACAGCGGTGGCAACAGGTGGTCCCACGGCCATATGCTGTTCTCCCTGCACTCTAGGTGGGGGTGGCTGGGAGGGGTCAGCCTGACCACAGAGGGGACACCCCAACCCACCCTCAGAGCCCCCCAGGAGGGCACACGGAATGGAAGAGCAGGACGAATGTCCCCTCATTCGGGCTGGGTGCTTAGCACTGCAGGATATGGGACAGCAGAGCCCCTTTTGGTGGCCTTCTCAGTGGCAGCAGCGGCCAGCTCCCCATGGGCCACCCTGGCCATCCTCCAGCCCTAGGCCTGTCCGCGTGCAGCTGAGGTCAAGGTTCCGAACCCCGTCCTCCATCCTGAAGGGTCGTCTGACTCGCTCTGTGTCCTGCCAACCTCAGTAGCCGGGCTCCCATAGATGGGGGACAGTGGGGCACAGCTCTGTAGCCCCAGACCAGGCCTGTCTGGGCTGAGGGCCAGCTTCGCGGGCTGGGAGATAGAGGGGCCGCCCCTCAGAGAAGGACAGCAGCCGGCCGGAGGACGAGGCCCGTAGGGGCTGCTGACCTGAGCACGTCCTTGCAGAGGGGTGGGAACGGGTGCTGCTGGTAGTGGCCGAAAACCTCGAACACGATGGGCTGGCTCTTGATGTACTCGATGAAGGACCTGGTCACCTCCACGGCGATCTGGCGGGCGAGGCGGGCAGGCGGTCAAGAGTAGGGAGAGACTCAGGTGAGTGCCAGGCCTCCATGGAGCACTCCAGGCCCAGGCGGGAGGTTCCGTCGGGCCGACCTCGGCCCACAGCAAGGACAGCGCTCCTCCCCGAGACACTTCCGGCCCTGCCTTTCGTCCGTCACACACGCAGTGGACACACCATGCGATGGGTGGCCTTTGGCCTCTCTCCTGAGCAGACGGGGCTGGGGACACAGGGCTCAGCGGCCCTTTCAGAACACAAAGCTCAAGAAGGTGACAGAGGCCAGGGTGGCTCTGTGGACTGGTCTGGCCGTACAGGGCCCTCGCCCACTCACCAAGAGTTATGATGGGTTGACTGTGCCCCCCACCCCCGCCCCCGCCCCAGTTCATAAGTAGGAGTCCTGGCCCCAGCACCTCAGAATGTGACCTTATTGAAAGACAGGGTCTTTACAGAGGCGATCAAGTTAGAATGAGGGCACTGGTGGCCCTAATGCAGAACAACGGGTGTCCTTATGAAAAGGGAAATCGGGACACAGACATGGACAGAGGGACGCCCATGTGGGGACACAGGGAGAAGACGGCCGTCTACACGCCCAGGGGAGGGGCCTGGAGCCGATCTTCCTCCGGCCTCAGAAGGACCCCTGCCCACACCTTGACCTCGGGTTTCCCGCCTCCAGACCTGGGGGCCATGACTGCCTGCTGTTTGAGCCGCCCAGTGTGGGGCCTTGTTCAGGCAGCCCAGGAAACACGCCCACCCAGCGCACACGCTTCAGACCTGCCTCGTTGCCCGGCTTAGAAACCGCTGCTTGCTCCGTGTCACCTGAGGGCCAGGATGCACTGAGTGTCTGCAGGACCTCAGGCGGCCCGAGCCGCAGGGCCACAGGCGGGGCTGCTCAGGGTCAAACTCCCCGGCCTGGCCTTCGCGTCCTCGTCAGCGGGTGGTTTTCATTGTGGCCACATGGAGCACTGTCCCGCCACACTGCCTGGTTAGTCCTGGTCCCACAGAGCCACTGCACCCCGAAAGCCCCCCTGCTCTTAACAGCCTGGCGTGGACACTCCCCTGCCTGCAGCTTCCTGGAACTCGCCAGGTCATGTCTACCTCCCGCGCCCCTGCCTCTGCCTCACACAGCTCAGGCTGCCTCGCTGGGCGCCCGGGTCTCAGCACAGACCCGGCTGCCCCAGACGCTTTTTGGTCCACGTCTGCCCACGGCTCCCCACAGGGAGCCCTCAGGGCTCTTCCTGCCTCCAGCCCCAGCCTTGATCCCACCAAGGCCCCAGCGCCCTGCAGCAGCCCACCCGCCTGGTGCCGGAGCCCCCACGTCCCCACACCCAGGCTGCGCCCGCACACAGCTCGTGCCCAGTGCCCGGCACAGGGAAAAGGAACGAAGCCACTTCGGGGGGGGGCTCTGAGGACATACGTTCTGGACGTGGTAGAAGCCCAGCGGGGGGCCCCTTCCCGTGTTCTTCAGGGGCTCCGTGGAGAAGGCCTCGTCGTGGCGATGGATGAAACTGCAAAGCAGGAGGAGACGCTGGCCGGGGGCACGGACAGCCTGACACACCCTCGCCTGGCGGAGGGCCCATCTGTGGCCTGTGCCACCCACCAGCCGGGCGCTGAGACTCACTTGAACTGGCAGAAGATGTCAGCGTACTCTGCGGAGATGCTGGACGCCTGCAGGACGGTCACGCGGAATGTGAAGGCGCTGCCCAGGTGCAGGTGGGCCAGAGCGGTGTCCAGGGGCCCGTCCAGGACGGCCTTCTCGGGGCTGTCCAGGAGGAGGCCTTCCGGAGACGACGCTGCCAGGAGCCAAGAGCACAGCGCGTGGCAGGACCGCCCAGGGCGCCGGAGCCCACACGGCCTCCCTGGGGACGTGGGCGCCCCGTGCCTGGCAGTGCAGCAGCCTACCTGAGCAGGTGTTGTTGTTGACCTCGTCGGCGGTGGGCCCTGCGTCGGCGCCCTGGCCCTGCCCTTCCACGATGCGCAGCTCTTCCTGGGAGGTCCCGGAGCGGGACAGCCCCACCACGGGGCAGGACTCCGACTGGAACTGTGCGGGGAGGGGACCAGAGTTGCAGAGAGCCCATCCGGGGCCCAGGCCAGGGCTGTGCCGCAACCTGAGTTCCAGACCTGCCCCTGGGGGCAGCCCCCACCTCGCACGCTGCCATGGCCTGTGCTGACCCCATGGTGAGAAAGGTCTACAGCTCTGCCCATCCAGGACCCCAGCCTCAGCCTCTGTTCCCCGCAGGCAGGGCGCAGGCAATCTCTCTGCTTGGCTTTCGGGGTCCTCGCCAGACCCCCATGTCAGGTGCCCCTCTGCTCTGACCTCCCCACCTGATGTCCTCTGGCCCTGCTGTGCACCCCCAGCATTGGCGAGCTCCCCTGAGAGGGACTCTGGGGGCAGCCAGGCTGCCCTAGGCACTGAGGTATGGGGCAGGTGGAAGGGGGCCGGTGGAGGCCGGATGAGCGCGCCTGAGGGGGACGGGGGCCGCCTGCTGTGAGCGAAACACCTGGCCTGTGGGGGACCCTGAGCAGGAAGCTACTGCTGCTCTACTTCCTCACCGAGAGCAGAAAGGGCCCCCGGTGGAGGCGACTGTCCCTCCCCATGGGGGGGGCAGGAAGCACTTCTTCCCCGGTTGTTGGAGCGGGTCACCCCAAGGACCCACAGCAGGACTGAGGACAGGTCTCGCTGAGGGCATTCCTAGTTCTCACTGGGATGTCAGGGGACGGGGGTAAGCATGGCGGTGAAACGCAGTGTCCTGCGGGGACCTTGAGAGGAGCGTGAGCCCGACAGGAGGGGGGCCATGCGGGGAGGCACCTCGGTGCAGAACCACCTAAGGTTCCGGAAGCTCACGGTGCTTGTCCACTCTGTGCCCCTGCCTGTGGCCGAGGGACCAGGGGAGGCGTGTGGGGACAGTCTGGCCCAGTGAGTAGGTCAGACAGTGAGGGACAGGGTGGCCCTGAGGCTCGGGGCAGGGAAGAGGCGAGACCCAGGCGCATGGGCCCCGTGGCAGAGCTGGCACCCGGGCCGGGCTGGAGGTGTGTGAGCTGGCACTGGATGGCCACGCCTACCCTGGTACGGTTGGTACCTTTTCGAAATGCTGGTCATCAAAGGAGATCTTGGCGGTTCCCGACTGGCGGACGCCAGAGCCATAATCAGGGGCCTCCTCATCGGCTGAAACAGGAACCGAGCAGATGGTCAGAGCCCTGCTTGTCACCAGGCGGTGTGGCAGAGCCAGGCCGAGCCGCGGACAGTAGAGGGCATGGCAACCAGGCCGTACTCTGACCCACATGGGGGCTCTCCAACGCTGCCAACCACGGCTGGGTCCCCGGGGGTGTCAGCACCACGGTGACATGACCGGGAGCTGCTGTAAATTATGGGCTGCCCTGGCCACAGAGAAGATATGAGGCCCGTGAGGGGGCTGTGCTGGAGGGGCTGGGGCAGAGGAGGGGGGATGGCCGTCACAGCACGAGCACCAGCCCCGTCGCCCAAGCACGCTCACCTCTCTGTTGTGGATGAGCGTTCGCACTACTACTGGTAGGAAGTTCAAGTTGGATCAAACAGGGGAGCAAACCAGGCCCAGAAGCACTTAGGACTGCCTGGTCCCAGGACCCCGGCCAGGGGAGGGGACGTGACAGGGCGTCCGCCTCTGCAGCGAGTCCACCCAGGCCCACAGGGCGTGGGTGCGCACCCTCCTGGGAGAGACGCCAGGGGGCCCAAGGGAGGGGGTGCACTGGAGTCAGTGCAGGGCTAGAGGGCCGCTGTGCGCGGCAGTCTGCAGCCTGTCCTGGGGCCTCAAGACGGTGGTGAGGGGTGGGCTAGGGGAGCACTGCTGTGACCCAGGCTGGGTCTCGGTGTCCGCCTGGAGCAACCTGATCGGAGGGAGGTCCCCTGAGCGGGGGGCACACAGCCCTGGGCTCGGCCTGCACAGCCCCAGCGGGCCCATCAACCTGGGAGGGTCCGGGAGGCCAGAGCCAAGGCCTGAGCGGTGGGCCTTCTCCCTGAGTCCGCACCTGGGGATCAGCAGGCAGCCGCCCACCAGGGGAGAGGCAGAGAAACAGCGCAGGCCAGGGGCCTGGGTGGGGCTGGCTGCGCGCTGACGCTGTGTGGTGCCCACGGAGGCCACCCCGCTCAGGCCCTCCCTCTGTGAAGGACAGAACAGGCCCAGTGGCCCCACACGTACCTGAGATGGCCTGGACGGCCACACGGAGGAAGCCCTTCACCTCGCCCTTCTCGCTGACGATGGCCACGCGGTGCACCAGGGGCACGGGGTACAGTAGGTTGCTCAGGTACACGAAGGCCCTGAGAGAAGGGGCCACGGTCAGGGCCAGCCCACGTGTGCGGGAGCAGAGGGGCAGCGGCACGGCTGGCTCGTGACACAACACAAAGCAGGGCGCAGCGCAGGGCAGCCGGCACGGGCAGCGGGCGGCGAGCAGGGGCTGCGCTGGGCGGCACAGGGCCCGGGACAGAGGGTCCATGGCAGAAGCGCACAGGGGAGCACAGGAGGCGGAGGGTGTGCGCTGCGAGCAGAGGCAGCGGCGCATGGGGCTGGGCACAGGGCAGAGCGAGGGCCACACCCGCTGGCTGACAACAGAGCAGCTGAGGAGGGGGTTTCAGCCTGCTTCAAGGAGGAGGACCCGAGGACCGGCCACGCGGAGCTACGATGCTGGCACGGAGGCCCTGGCCACGCCCGCCTCCCGCCCACTTCCCAGGGGCCTGACGCTTGCGGGTCCGGATGTGGAATGAGGCTCGCGACTCCTTCTGAGCTGTCAGCCAAGACAGGGGCCCCCGGCCCAGTGCCAGGGAGGGATGGCTGAACGGACAACCCTAGACCCCACGGCGCTGCCTGGCATACCCGTCAGCTACCCACAGAGCGCCCAGAGCCCTCCCTCACCCCAGCAGTGCCCTGCTGGTGCCAGGACAAGATGGACAGAGGCCATGTCATCCATTTCCTGAGCTCGCCAACATGTGGGCGTCACATGGGCAGCAAGGAGGATAGACAGGGCCCTGGAACACGCTGTGCTGCCCAGGTGGGCGAGTGGGCTTACATGGAGCAAAACTGCCTCGCTGTTCAGGGGCACCCTCCTGGGGGCACCTTCCTATGATTGGGGCACCCTCCTGGGGGGTCTGCCCACGTAAGCCATCAGGGTAGAAGCCCCCGGAGGGCACGTGCCAGTAGGACCCTGCCCCCTACCTGCCCTCCTCTCCAGGCCAGGTGCACGGCTGAGGGTGCAGCAGGGCAGAATGGGTAGGAGCTGGTAGGACAGGTGTGTCGCCCTGTGAACCTGCCCCTAGCTCAGCTTGCTCCAAGGTTGGACACCACCCATGCTGAGCCGCTGGCCTCGCCCCACAGTGTGATTCGGGACACGGCGCTCTGGACCCTACTGTGATGTGGGCCATCCTGGCTCTTATCTGCCAAACCCATCACTTCCACCTCAAAGTCTTTCTGAAGTCCTCTCGGAGGGTCCATTAGCACCGGCCACACTCTCGCCTCCCCATGGCCCCCACAGCAGCCTGGGGGACTTGGGGTGCCAATCAGACCCCACCCTCGGTGATGTACAAGTGCCTTGTGTCATTTCTAGCCCTGCTGCCCAGCCCCTGTTCCAGCCACATGGGCCCCCAGTCCATCCCTGGGACGCCCCGTCCACCCCCCGAGGCGAGGTGTGGAAGCTGCCGGCAAAAGCCGGCTCTGGCCCTGGTCACAGGGGAAGATGAGGCCCCGAGTGAGAGCCCCTTGCCCTCAGGCAGGAGCCAGATGGGGCAGCTGAGGGACGGCCGCAGCACCCGCCTTGGGGTGGGGACAGTGGTGGCCTTCCCTCTTGGGCACCTGGGCTCCTGGCCAAGGGCCTTCGCTTGAAATTGGGGGTGAGTGAGGGGGGCTGCCATGAAATGAGCAAAGCCACGAGGTCCGCAGGGGAAATGGAGCGAGCCCAGGACCCAGGCTACGGGGACAGGTGCAGACCCTACTCACCTTCCTTGGCTGGCCCCTGTCCAGTCATCCCATGCTGGAGAAAGCTAAGGGGACCAGGTAGGCCAGCCCCAGGCTGCAGGGTCCCCGAATCAGCACCCAGCCCTCCAGGCCTGTCCGCCCCACAGGGCAGGGCCCAGGAGCAGTGCTCACTGCTGCAAACCTGGTGTCTGGAGGCAGGGAGGCCCTGAGGAGGCTCCCAGCCTGCCCACCCCACCTGTGCTCTGCCGGGAACCCACAGGGGACCACCAGGGAGGGCGGGGACACCTCCCACTGTGGGCTGGGTGAGGGCATGGTGCCAGGCACGGGGGTCCTGTGTCAGCACAGCCTCCCGAGAAGGGGTTGAGGGCCGTCACGCCTCCCAGCCAGGAGGGCAAGGCAGGATCAGGTCCACCTTGCTGGAAGGCTCAGGGGCCACTTCACAGGGGAGGCTTCTAGCAGGCAGGGCCCAGGGCTCTGGGGCCACCAGACTGCCACTCACTGTGGGCCCTCGTGTCCCCAAGGCTCAGATCATCCCCTCGGCAGCTCACGCACGGGCCTGAACCCCCGAGCTCCCTGGGGGCCAGAAGTGGGGCAACTGCTCTTGTCATACCCGTCTGTAGGTGCGCCCGGCTCCCGGGCCATTCTCACCCTCAGCACTGAGGCTGGGGCTCTGCTGGCCAGGGGCACATCTCAGGTCAGCTGGCCGCACCCCTCTTTCTTAGGGGTGCACAAAACACAGGTGGACCCCGCAGATCTGGCTGGCACTCTGGTGCCAGATACAGAGAAGGCCAAGGAAGACCGGCTGGCTCCTCTCCCTGAATCCCCGCCTGCTTGGTGATGGTGACGGGCACATTTAGCTGCAGGGACCTCTGGGGCCCAGGAGCCACCGTCCCCAGTGGCAGCACCAGCCCTGAAGGGCTGCAAGCCGGGACTGAACAACCTCACGCCCCATGCAGAGACCCCTGACAGACAGCAATGGGACATGAAGGGACAGGGCCCATGGTACAGAAACAATCTGAAACCAACCGGCCACTGAGGGGACCAGGACAGCCCCAGCCCTGTCTGGGGACCCCGCCTGGACACAGCCCACCCATCCACGCACAGAGTGGCTCTCAGCCCTGCTAACGAGATTCGGGCTGAGTGGCCTGGTACACGGAGTGCACCCTGCTGGAGCTGAGGGTTTAGCCTCGCCAACCCAGGTCACAGAGCAGACACAGCAGGTTGGCGTTTTCCCACCCGGAGTCCTGGACACTTCCCCTGGGCAGTCACCTCATCGCCCACACCCAGGCCCTTCCCTGGGACCCTCCAGTCAACCCCCGCCCTCCTCTCTGCAGCTCCCCTGCCTCCCACCTCCAAGCACAGAGGGTAATTGGGGGATCCCTTCCTCTGCCCACCCCATCTCCCCAAGTCGCCCGGCACCCCAGACCAGCAGAGGGAGAGGCCTCCTGGACCGGGGTGAGGAGCCGTGGGGTGGGACATGGGAGGCCCCTGCCGGGGGGCCTGTGCACAGAGGTGAGCACACCTTGAAGCAGGCTGAGACCCTCCTAGAGAGAGAGGAAGCGGCAGAGGCGGGGGAGGAGGCAGTGGCTGACTGGAGATGGTGAGGTACAAAGACGCATGCTGGCTAGGAAAGCCTTTCCCAGGGGAGACGAGAGTGGGCGCCCAATTTCGCTTAAGCTTTGGAGAGAGCGCCAGCAGCTACCAGCAGGATGAAAGAAAACCAAAGATGGGTCCTTCTTAAGGCCCGGGCCTGCACAGCTGCTGCGGGAGAAGCCAATTCTTGCCAAACCAAAAAGGTCAGGATGGTTCCAACGGAAGCCCTTGCAGGCCGCCCGCCACGCGGGGCCGGCCGCTCACTGGTGACCTGGCTTTGCTTTGGTTGTTTTGTAACATCTCAGATTCACAGAGCGAAAAAGTGTCGGAAGGACCCAGCTCTTTCCGGCTGAGACTGCAAAAACCCGCACCCCGTTTCTCCCGGGGTCCTGGCTCCCCTGCACCCTGACCCCACGCCTACCTGCCAGTGGAGAGACTCCTGGGCCCAGCAGGCCAGCAGGCCAGGCCCTAGCGGCCGGGCTTTCTGAGAAGCCTGCGTGGAGCTGGCCCCTGAGGCTACTGTACACCCCTCGGGCCCAGCGGAGGGAAGCCCAGACCCAGGATGTCTGGGAGGGAGACAGCCACACGTTTTTATCCCTCAGGCCAGCCTGTCACACTCACGGAACACAATAATCGGAACAAATGCAGGACATCTGCCCATGGAAACCTGCCTCCTTCCAAGAAGGGCTTTCACCCTAGGACCCCCAGTGGGAACCCCGCTATCTGGGCCGCCTCCACCTGCAGCTGTCAGTACCGGTGCTCCAAGGTCAGGGCTTTCAAAAGCTTCCATCGGCCTTGCCAGAGGAAGCAAACTCCAGAAAGTTTGCTATTAAAACTATCTCACATCTTTTATGTTGTCAGCTATGTAAATTCAGCTGTTTCATGAGCTGCACTTGCTTCTACCACAGTAGCTTTCTGAATCTCTTTCACCAGTCACACTTCCATTCCATAATAACCACACACGTGACTGGCAGCTATATTTGACCAATCCGCTGTCAGGGCAGGGCCCCTGCTCCTGGGTCTGGGCTTCCCCAGGCCTCCATCCTGCCTCCTGACCTTGGCCTCTCTTATTCATCCCGGAAACAGCATCGGGCACTTCCTGTGAGGGCACAGGGCCACATGCATCTGTCCCCTGCCATGCTGGCCAGGGAGGTCAGAAGGACGAAGGGTCCTCACCGTCAGAAGGAGACAGGCTCAGAGCAAGGCAGGGTCCCCAGTGCCCCGCGCTTCAGGGGGAGGCCCTTCCACTGCCCGCACCAGCCCGCCCTCCCCTTCCCCGTGGGACGACCTCCTCCAGGCCTGCTCCTTTTCCGACGGAGCGGGCAGTGGTGCAGCGGTCTCCATCTCTTCAGGAAAAGTGGGGTCTGAACCCCAGGACCACAGGACCTTGGGGGCGGCCTGCCCCTCCCTCCTTTCCAAATGTCCCCTGTGGGGCCCGGCACAAGGACTCTTCCTGGGGCCCCAGAGGCCACGTCCCAGGTTCTAGGGCCTGTGCAGTACAGTGCCACCTGCATGGAGCCTGTGGCCGCGCCCCAGGGCACCTGTCTCTTCCATAACTAGGACCCCGACTGCCCCTCGTCTCCAGGGCGGCCCAGAGCCCCTGCGCTCCCTCACAGCCCCCTCGGAAGGCCAGCCCCTCAGCTGCCCGGCCCCGGGGCCATGCCCTGACAGTCAGATTTGCCCGCAGCAGTTCTCCTGTGCCAAAGAGCTGGCTCCTTCCTTCCCAGCATGCTGGCCTTGACCTCACCAACCTTCCTACTAAACTGAACAGGGGGGGCCGGTCGTAAAACGGGTCCCGGCCGTCGCACAGCGCGTGCTCCGGAAACACGTCGTCCTCCAGGTCCTCCTCCTCCCCCACGCTCTGCTCCTCCGCAGGCTCGGTGGTGTCAGAGTCGGGGCTCGAGAAGGTGGGGGAGGGGGTGAGAGCAGCCATGCGCGCGCTCATGCATGTGTTGAGAAGAGGGTAGCTGTTGCAGCCAGAGATGACTGAACTGAGGTTAGTGCGACAAGACAGACAGAAGTTAACACCAGCTTCTCACAGGGACGGGCGGGGTGGGGGCTTCTGTTTAAAACCCAGTCCAAACACACAACCACCAAGAATGCTGCCTTCAAAGACAAGAGAACCGAAAGTGCATCCCGTCCCAGGCTTAGAAGGAAACTGCATGTGTGGTCAGTGGAAAGCTCTGGAAGGCTCTGGAGGCACCGGCAGTGTGATCCTGGCCCGATGTGGCTGAGGTCACATGAGGACCTCGTGAGCTTGGCCACGCGGAGGCCTCAGAATACCACGTCGCGTCCTGTGGGGTGTAGGGCCTGGACACAGACCCCAACCAGGAGACCAGGGAGAGGAGGCACGGGACTCTGAGGCTCTGGGGTGACATGGCCCTGTGTCACCAGGTGACCCAGAAAGTCTGACTAAGCCTCACACAGTCACGCATGTGGACATGTGCGACCTGGTGGCCACGCCCCACAGTGGCTGTGGTGGCAATGACGAGACCCCTCTGTGGGCCCTTAAATAAGGGCGCACTAGTATATGAAGGGGAGGGGTCGGGGGACCTCAGACCTGGCGAGGGTGGAGGAGTCGGCGTGGGGACAGGCATCTGAGGCGCTTCGGGGGGACAGGGCCCAGCCAGGAGTCCTGCCTGGGGAGGAGGCCTGCTCCTGCCCCCAGTGCTCATTCTCTCTCTCAGCCCAGGGAGGACGGAGGTGCCCACCTGCCCACCAGCCGGAACCAGGGGAACCGGTCGTAGAAGGGGTCTCCACCGGTCACCACATTGTCGCAGTCCTCGATGACGCTGGAGGGCACCTCTGCCGCCCGGTCGTACATCTCCCGCATCAGGTCCAGGCGCTGCCTGCAGGGGGCGCAGGGGGCAGTGTGGGCCGGGGCAGTGGCTGCGAGGGGCACCTTCCCGCACAGCGCGCTCCAGCCAGCGTCCCACTCAGGGCTGACTGAGGCCTCAGCTGGTTTGCTGACAGACCCTCCGTGGTCCTGGGATCAGTCAGTCGTGAGCAAGTGACTGCCAGTTACGCGTGTGATTTCACCACTCAACTCCCAACTCCGGGCAGGTGACAGCAGTGTGATTGAAGCAGGCGGGACAGGGAGGGAACCAGAAAGCAGGGTGGAGAAGCGGGGAGAGAACCCGACCGGAGCGGGTGCTGGGAGCTCGGGGGCTCGGGGTGGGAATCGAGTCACAGAGCCCAAGGCGCTCGAGGACTGAGGGGCACACTGGTGAGAGGATATAGAAAATGATATTTAAAAAATTATTACCCCAGGAAAACCAACAAGTTGAGGAAAAAAGGAAATGTAGTCGTTTTGTTGTGGGCCAACCGAGTATCCCCCACCCCCCTACTGGGAAACTTTTAAGTGTTCTTTCCTATAGAAACGTTAAGTCTCCTCCTAGTTTCTTAGTTCCTTAGCCCCTGGCTTTGATTACTCTTCTCATCAGTCTGTGAATCCTAAAGATTGATCCTCACCTGAATCCTAGAATTCTCCTATCCCCCTGTGTCTGGACTGTTTGTAAATCAGTGTCTGAATCCTAAACAATAGATTGTTCATAGATTGTTCCTACCCCTGATTCAGATAACTACTTGAAAGCCTGTGACTTCCTAATGTCCCCCAGGCCAGTAAGCCTAATGATTGTTTCCAAACCCATTCTGGGCCCAGACAACTGATGCCACCTGAGTGACGGGCTGAATGGCCACAGGCTTCATGAGAGCTAACAGATTTATTCATTAAAATCTATGTTTCCTCATTCAGGGGCCTTGAGGATACAGAGGATACCCCAGCAAGACTGCCAGTCACAACCAAAGAAGCCAACACGGTCTTCCAGGCGGAGCTCGAGACCCCTTCCTCTCATCTGAGATCAGCTAGGGTTCCGTGAACCCCCAATAGGCAGGGACAGCTCTACGCCCCTGCCCAGCAGGAAGCAGGTACAGAAGAAGAGACCTCCTGTCCCTCAACTTCCCATAGAGATTTTATGGGGATCACGTCTCTCAAGCGGAAAACTAGGCAGGCAGCTAGAGGCAGGCATTGGGTCTCTGCATTCCTGCACGTCCCACAGGATGTGACCACCCAGGTGACCTCCCCTCTCCACCCAAAACTTCTTTTCATTGTAACTATCTACCCCTAAAACAAATGGGTACAAAATACCTGACTGGATTACACCAGTCACTCACACCTGCACAGTAAAGGCCATAACGACCTTCGTTTCACCTGGGCCTCATTATATCATCATTATAATATCATACATAGGCCCGGAAGTTCATGAATATCATTATAACAGACTGAATTCTGGGAAGGAATATGTGCAGTCTAAAGAGATGAGTTAATAGCCTGTTGTCAATCACAGGTGCCAATCAAGTGGTCTCACCCCCCCAGAGGGGAACAGCCCATTCTAGAGAAACAGGGATAAAAACCCCAAGTCCTGGGAAGTCCGCCTTTTGACCACTTCCCCCTTTTTTGGACCACCTTCCCTTTTGAGCCCCACCTTTGCGTGGCCCCGCTCCAAACTCTTTGGAATGTAATTTCTCTTCTAATAATGAGCCCTTGAGCCATTCTCTCCTGCTCAGGCCCACTTCTACTTCTTTGAAACATACTATCTCTTCTAATAAACTACTCTTTCACTACTTTGTTCCGGTATCTCGTTCAATTCTTTGCTCAAGTTGTCGAGGTCCTGGACTTCGCGCCGAGAAGGGCCCACTGCCGACAACAGTTCCCCTGTAGGGCTCAGAGTAACATGAATGACGTGGAGAGTGACATTCGTCCTTCCAAGTGTCAGACCGCAGCACCCGGGAGGATGGGGGCAGTGAGTGTGAGTCCGCGTGGACGCATGGCTACCACCGTGCGTGCGCGTGAGTGTGGGTGTGAGCGTGGGTGTGGGTGAATGAGCCCAGGACAGTGTGCGTGTCCATGAACATGTGGGTGAGACTAAATGTGACTGTGAGTGTTTGACTCTAATAATTATATTTTCATTCTCTTTATTCTATGGTGTTTTGACTTCTTGGGGCCTTGCTGGCTGGGGACAGAGGCCCCTCCCAGGAGCAGCCAACTCCTACAGACAGAAAACAACTTGTGGGGGAGTTGGACACACACCAGCCCCCAGCCGACCCTTTAGCTGACACACACCCTGCCAGTGCCCCCAGCCCTCAGTCACCCCAGGGCCAGGTACCAGGCAACGAGGGGCAGCCCTGTGCCCCACAGCCCGCCAGTGATTCTAACGTGCCTGGCCTAGCCGTCCACCTTCCCCCGCCCCCGGGCCCGGGGAAACCTCAATAGAGGTCGTGGCCGGGGCCTCCCCTCGCGGCTTCCTGCCTCCTGCTGCCCTGTGTGTGGGCCTTCCTCTTTCTGGGGACTGTGAGCGACATTCAACGTGTCCTCAACGGCATTGGCCTGTCACGTCTCACCCAGTCACCTTTATAAATTAAGAGCTGGGACACGTCCGAGTCAGCCTGTGAGGACCGTGGGGTTGGGCCTATAGAAAAGACACCTCTCACAGGACAGCAGAGGCCCCCTCCTGCCCGTCAGGCCCTGCGTGCCCGTCCTGCCCCCCGTCCTGCAGTCCCCGTCACCCGCCCTCCTGCACAGAAACTGAACAGTCCCACTGTGTCGGTGGAGGAAGAACACGTGTCTGTAACAAGGTGGGATCCCATTCACTTTTTTCTTGTGATTATAAGAGATTAAAAGAGGAGAAACAGCAGCATGGACGTGTGTACACTATGAAGCCGGCGCACCCCCTGTGGGGGCCTAGGCCTGCCCCACCACCCCCCTCCACCCCCCACACCTGAGTTTCTCCAGCGTCCAGTAGTGGGTGGCCCCGTTCTTCTGGTCCTGGACCTCCACAGCCACGATGGTGCGGGGGAAGGGGCGCGTCTCTCGGTCCTTGGCGGCCTCTGGGGGCAGCAGGTCCGGTGGCAGTGGGGAGTAGAGCGTGTCCGTGAGGAGGACAAACTGGAACTGGACCTGTGACAGGCAGGAGATGCCCTCCCATCAGCCCCTTGGTGGGTGGGAGCCAGGTCCCCTAAAGGACTGTCTTCCCACCTCCTGGGACGTTGGCGGCACGCTGGAACCTTCCAACCAGACGCCAGCCTGCCCATCGAGCAGGGAGGGCGTGCGTCCACCTCAGTCTGTCCCCGGCTCCCCCTGGCACTGCCCACCCTCCTAGGCGCCCAGGTCAGGCGGGTGGCTCCGCCGTCCCCAGGAGGCAGAGGAGCCCAGTGCCAAGCTCAGCGGCAAGCAGGACGGGCGGCCCTTCCCTGTGAGGCGGGTGAGCCCACCTTCTTCTTAAGCTCCACGCTGATGGCGTTGGCCTCCTTGAGGAAGATGGCGTTGCCCCAGAGCAGGTCCCGCAGCGACGTGAACTGGTACCACTTCCACTTCCGGAAGGCCCACAGCGCCAGCTCGAACTCCCGCTCCGTCCACTGGACTGTGGGGAAAGGCCAAGTGGTCGCCGAGGGGCCACTGTGACACCCCCCTCAGGACCTGGGCTGGGGGCTCTGCTGGGTCCTCGATCCTACACTAACTGTTCTGGGCGCTCGGAAAGAAGGTAGCTAGCAGGAAGTCGTGCGACGTGAAAGGCTCTGTGTGCCCCAAAGGGGTCAGCGCATGGGCGTCCTGAGAGTCGGGCTGAGGCTCGGTGAGGGCAGAGGGGGGGGTCAGCAGCAAAATGACAGCCACACCACCATGTGGGGGCAGGGACCCGTGGAAGAGGTGGTAGGAGGGCAGGCTGGGGCTGCCCCCGTGCCCTCTCCCAGCTCACATACCCTCTGTCCCCCAAGAAGGGCTTGTCTTTGCTTCCAGGGACCCCTCCCACCCACAGGCCCCGTCCTGTGGGGCCTGAAGAATCCCGTTGAGTTGGTGAGTCCCGACAAGGGGAGACCAAGGTCACATCAGCATGAAGGTGCTGACCAGACGCCAGGCTGGATGTGAACCCCACAGCCACCTTTGGGCCCCACAGCAGCATGAGGTCGCCAGTGGCCACCCAAGCAAATGCTAGCAAAGGGGGTCCCGAGGTGAAGGGGAGTGACCTCGTCCTGGGGAAGCACCAGCCCCCCGCTGGCTCGGCGCCTGTGTGAGCCCTCACTCACACCATCCTCCCCATGGTCCAGGCTGCTACCGCCAGGACCCGCGTGTGTGTGTATGTATGTGTGTGTGTATGCACATGTGTGTGCGTGTGTGCATGCTTTCCTGTGTATGTGTGTGGTGTGTGGTGTGTGT